TACGTAATTTTAGATTACCGCAGCGTAGTTTGGTCAGGTTACTTCTCTTAGCTCTGTTGATAATTTGTAGGTATAGCTCAGGATGTCGATCTTTCTTGAATAATCTGTACGTTCGAAGCTTATTTCCATTTACTTTGTCCTTGTCGTTCCACATTTCCGTAAACCATATTTCCTCATCTAGTTTCATTAAAAAACTTTTCATTGTTAAAATAGTCATCTTCACAGGGTCTAGAGATGTTAAAATGGAGTCCAACTTCAGTTTTTTCCCGAGATGCTGTGCTGTGTAAGCAAAGGATCCTCTTTTCTTTATAGACCAGTGGAAAAGTATGTTTGGTAATCTGTTGGTTATCTGTTTGGCTGATTTGATATAAAAACGGAACGCTTCAATCCTCTGCTTTGTAAGACAAGCTGCCCAGCCCATTTCACCGTGGATAGCTATAGTGGATGTATTGCGCGGCACTCCAAGGAAAAAACGACAGGCTCTATTCTGTATACTGCTGATTTCACGGTGTCCGTACATCCCCCCAGATAGGCGCACAGTATAACAGTATAGGTTGTACAGTAGATTCGTACAGTTTTCTGTAGACGTCATAAGCCATGTCACCACACTGTTTATACTTTGTAATCAGGAGAGATAGCGCTCTACTTGCACTCTTGGCAATTTCCTTCACTGCATATTTCAAACTCAAATGTTCCTGGAACCATAGTCCTAGATATTTGTAAGTATCAACGTAGTCAAGGCTCATATTACAACAGTTAAACTGAAACTGTGAACGAGAAATCCCATCTTTCCTGAAATGCACAATCTTAGATTTGTTGATATTTATTGACAGTCTCCACTTGTAACACCAACTTGTAACAATGTTCAACATTCTCTGAAGCTTTTCTTCTGTGGGGGCGATTAAAACAATATCATCAGCATATAGTAAAATTGACACAAACATATCATCAACTGGTACACCATCATTAAGCTCGTCGATCTCTTGAGCCAGGTCATTTATGTAGAGAGAAAACAGAGTTGGCGACATCATGCAACCTTGCTTCACACCTGTGTTTACTGTAAAAAAGGAGTAAGGTGTTTATTAACTCTAACAGTACTGGTAGTGTTCCTATACAGCGACTGTATGGAGGCAAATATCTTCCCACCAATTCCAGCTTTCCGTAGCTTCAACCAGAGGCAGTTCCTGTCAACCTTGTCGAAAGCTTTCTTTAAATCAATAAAACACGTAAAACTTCCACACTTAGAGTCCAGCCGCGACTTCAATATGGTATACAGAGAGTATATGTGGTCGAAACAGCTTCTTTCCTTCCTAAAACCATTCTGAGCATCTGATAGCAAGTTACTTGAATCTAGCCATTTTGATATGCGTTGGTTTAAGATTTCACAGTATATTTTAGATGGCACGGAAATGAGAGATATTCCACGGTATGACAAAGGTTGACGGAGATCTGTATCACTCTTGACAATCGGGTTGATAATCGCTTGTGGGCGCTGTTCCAGTATCAAAACAGATGGTAAAAAGTGTAAACAAAATGTCAATACTGCTGTCATTTTTCAATGCTTCAGCTGTTAAATCATCAATACCGGCTGCTTTCCCATTCTTAGCACGGTGTACCGCTCTCGTGACCTCCTCCCGGGTAATAGGGCCATTAAGCGTAACGTTCTCGTGCTGCTGCTCCCCGTTACCGTTACTCAGCCGTTCAAGCTCGTGCATCACGTGCGTCATGTGATCTTCGTCATACGGCTGATCGTTGTTTCCCGAGTACAATTTCTCAAAGTCACTAATCCACCTCTTTAGAACACCATTAACATCACAGACAACTGTATGTCTGTATTCACGATCATGGAAAGTATTCAATTTTATATGCCTTTCTTGACAACGAAAAAGCCTTTGACAGAATCTGGCACGATGGATTGTTTTATAAATTACATGAAATTGGTATAAGCGGTAATACCTGGAATCTTTTATATCACTGTTATACTCATAGCGAATCCTTTGTTTGTTACCAGGGTGAGAGATCAGACACATATTGTGTCAAGCAAGGTGTTGGCCAAGGAAGAGTTATTTCAGCTTGGTTCTTCCTTATTTTTATAAATGACCTTATCGCTTCTCTCAGAGAAGCCAGTTGTGGTATTTGTGTATACGGTATGCATGCTCCTGCAGTCTTGCTTGCTGACGATACCACGCTTATTAGTGCATCACCTAAAGGTTTACAATCATCACTAGACATCGTGTCGTCATATGCCTCCAAATGGCGTTTGACCTACAACCCAGCTAAAAGTACCATAGTTATCTTCAGCAAAAGAAAATCCACTTATTCTAACTTCCAGTACCGCCTTGGTGATACGCCTATCCCCCAGTCTGAATCAACTACCTATAGAGGTGTTCTCCGAACTGATAATCTCTCAACAAAAACAAGAATCGTTAGGTACTGTCAGAAAGCAAGACAAAACATAATTCCCTAAGATCTGCGGGACTTCACCACTCTCAACTCCACCCATTCACATGCGTCAAAATCTGGCTGAGAATTATACTTACAACAAGTCTCTATGGCTGTGAAATATTACCTAACATTAGAGGTCAACAAGCCGATGCACTTGAACTTACACAAGGATTCTTTGCTCGTATTGTGCAGGGGCTTGATAAAAGATCACCAACAGACTCTACTATTGCAAATTTGGGATTGTGGACACTCATTGGTTACATCAACAAATGTAAATCATTTTTCTTGGACGTCTATGCAAAATCTCTTGTAATAATTTTGCCAAAAACATATTTTGTGCAGCAATAACCACATCTACAAAATCCCCTTCAATCTGTGATGATCTACTATAAGTACTCTACAAATATAATTTACATGTACACATAGAAAAATATATTAAAGAAGGTGTATTCCCTCCAAAGTACGAATGGCGAAAAATTGTAAATACATCTGTACATAGCTATGAAGATGGGTTATGCAAACCTCAATTAATACAAACATGACGCTTTATGCACTGGTCCATTCCAAGTTAAACTATCATATCCTCTTGCATCCCAATTATAAATCTGCCCTCCAAATATGTATTAAAATCTCATCACATGGCAAAATATCTAAAGAATGTAACCTATGCAACAAATATACTTATGATTATGATTTTCATATACTCCTACACTGTGAACAACTTCACACTGAGAGAAACGATTTTTTTGTGTTTATAATTTCACAACATTCTTGATGTCGAAACCTATGTTGCCTTTGAATCACAGGATGAACTCGATATGCTCTCTTTTCTATTTGGAGGTGAAACTGTTTTTAATGATAATGTTGATCAAGGGACATGGGAAACACTCATTTTACGATTTTCTTTATACATTTACCGAATAAGACGACATCTCCTACAATGTTACACTGAATGATCTCTGTAGATTTATAATGATGTATGTCCACTTTCGGAAGTTTCTTGTATAAATTAATTGTATACACATATACATGTATGTTCTTATGTAAATTGTAGCTTTAGGTATTCATCTTGATTAATATAATCGTATATACATCTATATCAATTTTGTAATTTTGCCCCCTTTCTTGTATATACATGTATATGATATGTTTGATCTTCGGATGATCGTCTGGAGGAAATAAAGACTCTCTCTCTCTCTCTCTCTCTCTCTCTCTCTCTCTCTCTCTCTCTCTCTCTCTCTCTCTCTCTCTCTCTCTCTCTCTCTCTCTCTCTCTCAACCTCTCTCTCAACCTCTCTCAACCTCTCTCTCTCTCTCTCTCTCAACCTCTCTCTCTCTCTCTCAACCTACTGACCCTCGTTTGTGTGGCGTGGCTGCCACTTACCCCAAAAAGGTTATTAATGTCACGACCACTTGAATGAAAATGCCAGACGATCTTCTCTATACGCCATTTTATTCAAGTCCCCCAAACTTAAGCTGGGACCCGTCTCGCGCAAAGAGAGCCGGGAACCAGCTTAGCTTACGCCAAACTCACCTTTCCCACAAGGGAGGCAATCACATCGTAAGTGACGTTAAATAAAGAGTTATCTCCCTTAGACTACTAAACTATCTACATAATAATATATTTCAGGGGCAGATTCAACTTTTTGAGAAAGGGGGTGTGGGGGGCGTCGTGCATATTCCACGGACCCATTGGCTTGAAATCTCTGTGACAGTCTTCCAATAGCACTCTGACTCACATTAAGCGGACAGCAACCTACCGTTGAGTTTGACCCGATTCCAAAAGGCATATAGCCAGACCCCTTTCAGCAAGTGACGTTTCTTCATATATGTTATTGTAGCTGGTTCCACGAACTGCTCTACATATTGTTCTCAAAGCATCGACATTTAATTTTTCTAGGAGTTGGGATTGTTTTTTGAGTGCAGTTTTCCCACATGGCCAATAGTGTGATACAGTTACAATATACTATCTGATGGTTGTTTCTAAAGTTTGCAAGTTGAAGCCATATTTGATTTTCGTGAAACTAATATTGACTGTTATTTGGATTAAATGATACCCTGCCATATTTTACTCCACATTGTTATGGTATTTGCGTCCCTATTAGCGTAAAAGTAGCCTGGATGTTAATATTTACATAGGGAGAATTATCGTCTGAAAAATGCGTAGTGCATGTGTACAAAATTGATGACCCCCCTAGCTCCCCAGAACAAAATGGGTGACACACCCCACCCCCTCCCCCCCTTAAAAAATCATCATTCACCTCATTTCCCCCCTTCCCCCCTCTCCCGGAAAAAATTATGAACGGTCCCTTATCAAGCACCTAAGACTAGAAAGTAACATCCGTCCAAATGATGGAAGTTTTTTCAGTTATTTCTGAGTATCGCTACATTTTTACAGGGATAATCTATAGCTTCTACGTCTTCTATTCTCCCTGATATTTCAGAGCATAAAGAAACAGTATGGTATGAGGTCGAGTTTGTCATTCTTTTGGTGCCATTTTGGATAAGGGCCGTTTTAGCTAAAGCTCATAAGTGCAGCGCTGTGCGGAGCTTGTCCTTGCCAGTCTACAACATCAAGATGGCGTTGTAACACTCACATTTTGTTGACAAGTGAACTAAGAATACGAATTTAGGCTATCATTCCTTGCTTGCAATGCCTTCACACGGTGTTACGAAGGAGCGTTACAGAAGGTAGTCTTTCCATTTTGGGTTTCTATTCCATAGGTTTTTGTATTTCAGTGGTACCTGTTGTCAGAGCTCCAGATAAGATTTAGCTCATGTGGGTACTGTACCCACTGTATTTTTTTGGAGTGGGTATTATGAATGTTGAGTGGGTATTTCATGTTCCCACTGCTTTCAAATATGTGCGTATTTCAGTCATTTTACTCACCTAAGTATATGCCATTGAGTAAGTTTACTAAGCAGGTATGTTCTGCCTTATGTCATACCTAATCAAAACCAACTAAATATACTCTCACAAAAGAAACGCATATAGGAATTTCAACTGTATTTTTATGTTTATTTTGAAACATCTTGTAGGCTTTTTGAGTCAATGAAATATAGCGAAATTGCACACTGGGAATGCAGACTTATCCGTCTTTGGCACCAACTCGAGGAAAGTCAGTTTTAGTGTCACATGGAGACGTGTGGTGGCGCTGAAGTCAATACCTCGTGTGACCACCGTGGGCATCCAGAACTGCACGGCATCACCTCGGCATCGAACGAATAAGTCTCAGAATCTTGTGTTGCCCAATCGCAGCCCACTCTGCCTGTAGTGCCTGTGCGAGTTGCTGAAGTGTCTGGGGCTGAGGGTTACGGTGTCGCACCCATCTGTCCAGGGTATCCCACAGATGTTCGATCGGGTTTAAGTCCGGTGATCTTGAGGGCCAGGGGAGCACATTGATGTTGTGGTTCTGGAGGAAGTCTCTAGTGTGACGTGCTGTGTGGGGCCTGGCATTGTCCTGTTGAAACAACTCCCTATGGCGATCAATGATTGGAAGGAGGTGTGGGCGTAGGATTTCGTCACAGTACCGTTGAGCTGTCAGGTTGCCCTGCCCACCAAATCACTTCTCCTACGGCAGGTGATCGCTCCCCACATCATAACACTGCCCAGACCGAATCTGACCACCTGGGGAACGCAAGCGTCAGCGAAACGTTCACGTCGACGTCTGTACATCCACATTCTTCCATCGCGTCGTTCCAATAGAAATCGTGATTCATCACTGAACCAGATTCTACGCCAATTCGGTAGGTTCCAGGCCTGAACGTTGGTGCATCATTGAACGCGATGTCGACGATGTTGTTGTCGAAGCACAGGGCAAAAATAAGGTCTGGCACGTAAACCAGCCTCTCTCAACCTGTTCCTTTTTTGGGAGAGTATATAATGGAAATGATTTCATAAAAAAATCACTCATCCTATACTGACAGTACAACACTTGTCCTATACTAACAGTACAATTTGATAGCAATCGATGTCTTTTTCATTACGCAAGCAATTTTAAAAATATATTCCGTATGCATTTGTTTTAAACTTCCTGCGTATCTAATATCCCATAAGCTTCATGCAAGCCTCGGTCTGTAGTTTGTATGTTTATGTTATATGGATAACTTGGCAACAATCCAGTTTAAGAATACAATCAGATAAAAATTATAATGTTCGATACTAAAACCAAACAAATACAATGAACACGTTACAACCATATAGTGAAAAAATAGGGGCCCAATGGTCAACTGCAATATTTGGGTCTTTGGCTAGAATGCACTTTACCGCGCGCAGCCCTCGCTGCTCCCTTTACGATCCTTAGGGTTAGGGTTTAGGGTAAGGTTATGCCACCCTTTTACGATCCTTAGGTTTAGGGTAAGGGTATGCCACCCTTTACGATCCTTAGGGTTAGGCACCCTTTATGATCCTTAGGGTTATGGTTAGGGAACCAGCAGCGCTAATGAATCTGAAAAAGTGCACCCGGTAAAGTGCAGTACTCCCGGGTCTTTTTGTAGCCCCATTCCACAATGCACTTGTAGAGCTACTGCAGTCACTGAAGTCTGGTCTGGGGAAACCTGTGGGTACCCACCTGACTCATGCCACCCATCCCAGCCCTTTCATAGCGCATTCACTTCTGGGTGGGAGAAAAATCAAATCTTATTCTGTGCGTGTGTATAATGCACACCCTATTCGATGCAGGTGTATATTTTAGAATTGAACACAACAATACAATTATGAAACAATGTCCTGTGACATAAGCCAAGCAACAGGTTTGTGGGGGTCCTCCCATTGATCTGTAATCTCTACATGCAATGTCATTGAAAAGCTGCTATTTTTGTTGAGATTTGTCAGCATTTGTTTGAAAAAACAACAATTAGACCGCTCCATCACCTTTTACTGCAAGTGCTAGTTTATGAGAGTATTTCTTTTTAATGTTTCCCATTTTTCAGCTTGATTTAATGCATGGTGCTAAAGTGATTAATGATAAATATATTGTTTTTTTATATGCAGTCTTTTTAATTTTTAGTGATAGGAATGTAGTTTAGTAGGCTTATTATTGCCATTGAACACACCCAAACACTGCAGATCCAAACTTTATCTTATGTGGGACATAATTTACAATAAATCAGCTGGGTTTCTGAGCTCAGCTTTTCAATCATCAGTTGCATATATTCTTCACACAAAGGACAGGATTAAATGGCTTAGTGTCAAGTATTTTGGCTACAGCAAACTGTCAATGTGCTTCCGCCCAAGCCACTTTTCCTCTTGCCCACTTTGTTCTTCATTATCCAATGTTCCTTCCAACATTTTTCTGTCACAAAATGTCCCAGTGAATAATCCAATATCCTGTCATTCATACGTTCTTGTAAATTCAATGCCTGGTGCTTGTAGCCATTCTCATGCTAATGGTAAGTGTCCGTAAACGAAAAACAAGACCATATGCCTGCCCCTTGTTTTTGGAACTGCCACCTATTTTCACCCACTCACATTATTTCTGTAATGTCTCAAGCATGACGAGATACATTTGCACATATTTTATCAGTGTGGATGTAGTTCAGTTGAGAGTTTGTCTTCATAAGATTGTCTTCATAAGAGCTTGTGGTGCAGAAGGGATTCTGATTTTTGGTTTGCAATATGAGCCATTTTCACCACTCTGTGTTTTAGTCTTTAGTATAGTAGCAATGCCTCAATGTTCATAATTATGTGTGGGAGTGGTAAGGTAAGGTAAGGTAAGGTAAGTAAGAGGGTATGATGTGCACACCATTCACCCAATGAAATATTGTAGTATGACACTGGAAATGCTGTGTGGTATGTTATAATCCAGAAATACAGGTAAGGCACCTCCTTCTCACTTGCAAACACTTTTCTCATGTGTTATTCAAATAATGTCAAAAGCCAAATTTCTCTCACACTGTTTTATCTACAAATAAAAAATTGAAATCAGTGCGTTCTGATTCTATTTTCAGGAGTAGGTCACGATCACCTTATCAAAGGCTCCGTCCTTTTAAAACATCAAGATACACTGATGCTCGAGTGAAATCTGGTGGACGTTTTGATCATTCTCACGTGTCTCAAAGGTTCCTCTCCAGGAGAAAGTTCTCATCATCACCTCAAAGATCACCTAGAGATCACAGAGAGAGATCCAAACATGGACATAGCCCTCATGTTTCAAACAGATATAAATCAAGGTCAGAATATGTCTTCATGCTGTTGGGAGGAGCTTCAGGGATGGTTGGATATCACTGACATTTACACCTTGTGTTTTGTTTTTTAGACTGACAGCTGATATTGACATAAGCAATGATATATACACTTCCATCCACCTGTCAGTAGTCATGTTCAAATATTAAAAAAATAAATTGTAAAAAATTTCAATTCTGAAGAATTTATACAAAAATGTGAATATATAGAACAATCAGGTGAATTTTTTTTCATAGGTAAGGATAACTTTCTTATCTCAATATATACTAGGCACATATAGAAACTGCATACAAAAATTTATAATCTAAATTTATCAAACCTGTGTAGACACATAAGGATTTAAACTCAGAGAGATTAGTGACGTATCCAACATGCATGCACGTGCCACGTTCCGTGACGTCAGTGGGTTCGTCCTTGAGATGTGCAATACGTTGTTGCACGTGCATTCCGGGAAAGAGAAACAGAGCAAATGAATGCCACACAATACTGTCACTTTGGAAAGCTCAACCCCTGCCCTTGTGATTGTTCAAAAAATTAAACGGCTATTGAAACGCATAGCATGCCAAGGCTCACGTCTGCACAACGTCATGAGGCCATTGGGATGGTCCGTGGGGGAATGTCTCAACGACAAGTGGCTGCACATTTCCACTGCCACCGGAACACCATTTCTGCACTGGTGAGACGCTACGAGAACACAAATTATGTCATCGATCGGCCACGTTCTGGACGTCCATGTGTAACAATGCCAAGACAGGACAGATGGATAAGGGTGACCCATCTTCGCCACAGGTTTCAGACTGCAGTGATGACAGCCTGAACCATCCCAGGACTTTTCCGTATCCACCCCAACACAGTTCGACAGCGTTTACGTCATCACGGGATCAGACCACGACGTCCCACCATACGGCCTATCCTGACACAACGTCATCGACAAGCTCGCCAAATGTGATGCCGAAATCATGTTCGCAGACCCTTGTTTTGGTGGAGAAATGCTGTTTTTACAGATGAGTCCAGGTTTAACATTTCCCATAGTGATGGACGTCAACGTGTCTATAGACGCGTGGGAGAACGTTATGCACAGGCCTGTGTCTTGGAGAGGAATCGCTTTGGTGGTGGTTCCGTGATGATTTGGGGTGGAATAACAGCACGCCAAAGAACTCCTTTGGTGATTGTTCAGGGCAACTTAACTGGTGTGGGCTACAGGGATCAGATTCTTCGACCTGTGGCAATTCCTTTTCTGCAACGTCATGGCCTTGGGTTAACCTTCCAACAGGACAATGCCCGCCCTCATCACGGCAAGGGTTGCTATGGATTTCTTGCAACAACACAACGTTGACTTACTGCCTTGGCCTGCAAATTCACCGGATCTCTCCCCGATAGAGCATGTTTGGGACGAGATGGATCGATGTCTACGCCGTCTTCCTCATCCGCCAGATAACGTCCTTGACCTTGCAACAGAAATTGAGAGAATCTGGTGTGACATCCCACAAGCCTTCCTTGCACGTTTGATAGGCTCTATGCGTCGTCGATGCACTGCTGTTCTCAATGCCGGTGGTGGACATACCCGTTATTGAGCTTGTGACATGGTCGTTGGACCCCTGTCCCGCTTGTGGACTCGTGACGTCATTGTGATTGACTTTTCAATTGAAATTCTCCCGACTTGTTATGGTCTCATGATCCTTCCATTAAAGTTTATATGTACCTTTGACATTGTTATTGTACTTATCAACTGGGATGATATTTTGACAATGCACAGTTTCTTTATGTGGCTAGTATATATCTTCTATCATAGGGGCGGAGGGGTAGCCTAATGGTTAAAGCGTTGACTTGTCACGCCGAAGACCCGGGTTCGAATCCCCACATGGGTACAATGTCTGAAGCCCATTTCTGGTGTCCCCTGCCGTGATGTTGCTGGAATAATGCTAAAAGCGGCGTAAAACCAAACTCTGTCAGTCAGTCAGTCTTCTATCATAAGAAACTTATTTGATTATAATGTAAAGAATGGGACATATGCACTTTACGGGAGGGACCTGGAAGTAGAAATGTATTCTGTAGCTCGCGCTTTGCGCCAGCACACACCAAAGGCGCGTCTTTACCGCCTTTGGCAGTAAGCAACGCGCAGAGCGTCTTATATATAAAGAATCACACAAGAGCAGCCTGATCTCCGTTACATTTTTGACGGAATTAGAGGTCATTCTCGTGTGTACTGGCAAAAGTTTAATTTAAAACTTTGTCTGAAAGACATTTCTTACTTTTATCCACCGTGTCTTTGACCCCCCCAAAATGCATTATTATCTTAAGAGCACAAATAATGAAAATGAAAATAAAGAAAATGAATATGAAAATGAAAACATCCAACCTACCAATGAATTCAATGCATCTGCAGATTTGTTCCTGTGAGGTAAGTGAACCGTTTGGATATTTGTTATCCTAACGCTGGAGATGATCTGCTACATATCACATAATTTACAGGGATTGGGAAAGGCAGGGGCCATGGGCCATTTTGCATGTTAGAATAAAAAATGGCCCATTAAAGTTTACTGTTGATACAAGGGCAGTGGCCCATTCTGAATTAAAGAAATGGCTAATAATCCTGAAAATGGCCCATTGTCAAGGTTCTCTATCCCAATCCCTGCATAAACTTACCTTTTTGTTTATTGCAAATGAAAATGGAAAAAGAATGATACATTGATGCATCTAAGGGCTAAAACTTTTTAGGTTGAGTCCCATCCGGGATTCTATCATAAGAAACTTATTTGATTATAATGCAAAGAATGGAACACCTGCACTTTACGGGAGGGACCTGGAAGTTTTAAAGTTTACTGTTGATACAAGGGCAGTGGCCCATTCTGAATTACAGAAATGGCTAATAATCCTGAAAATGGCCCATTGTCAAGGTTCTCTATCCCAATCCCTGCATAAACTTACCTTTTGTTGAGTCCCATCCGGGATTCGAACCCACATCCTCAGGCGTCTGACTTTGTGTGCTGGCGATTAGGTGCCTGACTCTGAGGGTGTGGGTTCGAATCCCGGATGGGACTCAACCCAAAAATACTAGAATCTGTACTTTACTAAGAAAGTGTAATCCCAAATATAACATATGTTACATTTGACCACTTTCTAAAATGACATGTATTTCATAGCTTTCGGTCGTGGGGCCGTGCCAATTAACACTTATCAGAGGGGTACACAAGGTCCGCAGTCTAGACTACCAGTTGTCCGACTTCCATTTTTGTGGAAGCCGCGGTGGCTGAGCGGTCTAGGCGTCTGACTTTGTGTGCTGGCGATTAGGTGCCTGACTCTGAGGGTCTGGGTTCGAATCCCGGATGGGACTCAACCCAAAAAGTACTAGAATCTGTACTTTACTAAGAAAGTGTAATCCCAAATCTAACAGATGTTACATTTGACCACTTTCTAAAATGGCATTGTGTATTTCATACCCTAAAGAACTACTGAAATTAGTGGGAAAAAAACAACACCGAATACTGTAGAACATACAGACTCCCAAAATATCATCTTGAAGTATTGTGACAGAACATCACACTGTCCTCCTGGTAGACTTGTACTGAAAACTAACATGGCCATTAGTGCTGGAGTGCTTGTGTCAGCGTTTATCGATGAGCTCATTAAACTAATTGATATTCATAAAAGCTGAAACATTAAATTAAACTTTAGAAGTTATGTTTCTTATTGTTATGTTTATCAAATGAAGACTAACTCAAATCACGCTGTTAGCTGACTCGTAAAACTGCAATGTTAACAACAGTACTCGCATGCATGTCTCAACAGAAATATCCTTGATATTCTTGGTCGCAGTATTAATCAGTGCCTGTTCTGTTTGCACAATGTTATGACTGTGTCCAGTTAGTGCCGACTTGAGCTTTTGCCGCCCCCCTCCCCTTTTTTTGTTGTTGTTGAAAGTTTGTTTGGAATTGGTGTTCATGTTGACTACTGACTATCTGTGAGAATGTTTTCTGTTCACAGAAAGTCTCCATATGTTGAAAGAAAGACTCAGCACTCTCCCACTGTGTGGACATCGCCAGTCCAGGACAAGCCAAAAGCTGACACTTCTGTTTTAGACAGGGACTCTTTGAGAGAAAGATCAACATCTGGACATACGAGTCATCAGGATTACTTTCCATCTGAAAACAGGAAAGTGAAAAAGAAAGTAACTTTAAATGAACGTTTTGGTTTGACTGAAAAGAAATTTGAACTTGAGGAAAACATAACTATTGGACTTCAGCGTAATCCTCACATCCCAATATCAACAGCTGTAAATGTTACAACAGCAAATTTTGATTTTCACAATTTTTTGTTGAAACGCCAAGCCAGTGAAGGTCGCAAGCCAATTTTTGATCGGGAAGAAATCAAGGCATTTCATCATGATGACAACCTTGATGACCCAGATGAATTCGAAAGGAGAATTATCACTGTTTTATCACCAAAACCTCATGGTAGTTTTAGAGGTAGACAGGATCTCTGTGCTGATTCTACTGATGTGGATTATAGCATTAGAAGATCTTTAAGTACTGCATCCATCTTTGATGCCAAACATGATGAAAGGAATATGAAGGGAACTCATCAGATATCTACATATCACAGCAGGTATTTAACATTTAGAAGATCATTGAATTTCTTAGTCGCTCAGCAGGCTGAAAGTCAGGTGAGCTTGTATTGCTGCCTGCATGTCTGGCATCCTTGATTATCTTCTTCTGACAATAATGCTTGTAAAGTGGTCCTTTTTGACATTTCGAATTGTCTTCTACATATTCAGGGAAGCTCTGTCATTAAAATCACCTGGCTGAACATAAAGTTGCATGTAACAAATTAACTTCTGAAATCACTGAGGTATCGCTGCAGACATTAATAACACCTGATTCTTTTTTCAGAAGAGGTCCTCCTTGGGGTACTAATAGGCATTTGTATGTCCATTAAAAATTCCTACAACAGGTGGAACTATATTTTGAATAAAATATTTGCAAAACAAAAAATTCATTTTTGTCTTGTTCAACTACCCCTGCAGGGCCCCTCATGTGCCCCACAGCCAAGAGAAGGTAAAATCTTACCTGGAATTTCGCAACTCGATTTCCATGCTGTCATTCTCATGAGAAGACGTACGTGAGTTCCATTCACCTGTGCTATTACAAGTGCTTTTCCTAATGATGAGTGCAAGAGAGACGAATTCGATTACTGTATGTATGGTCTTCTTTTTTATTGCATAGGCGATACGCTAAACTAGATCTAACATCTTTTCTTTCTTCAATGTTGTAACTTTTTGTCGGCCTCTGTCTGCGTGCTATGTGACTTGCAAGATGGTGGGCATAGCGATAGGTTTCGCACTCCACTATGTGTCGTTAGTTCCTTATTACATGAAAGAAGTTTCTCATTGATGGTGGGACCAGGTCCTAGTGTATTCTTTATGAACCTTTTTTGTAATTTTATAGTTTTTTTCATGTGACATATCATATTTTAGTTATTTACTTACAATATGTTAGCATAGTCACATAATTTTTCACTGTTATTCTTCTGTGTGTTTGTGTAGCATTACAGCCAGTCAAATTGCATTCAGTATTTGTGCAGGAATATTTTTTATTCTTGGCTTTTTTTCTCCACTTTTAACCCGTTGGGTTGTCAGATGGAGAATTCTTCAGATGCTTCAATTCTTTACATGTTTCAAGTTCAGTTTGGTAGTGTGGTGTAGTTGTTATGCTTGGCATCACAATTTTTTATCGCCCTTGCATATTATTCTTATAGTGTTGTTTGTATTATGTCTGAGACATATTTGCATTACATAGTGTACATATTTGTAGCCTCGATCTGTCCAGTTATTGCAGTTTGCATATTTGGCCTCTGGACCCACCCTCTAAAAAACCTTCGAAGAAGAAGGCTTTTTCTTCGGCGTCTTAGGATGTGGGAGGAAAGAAGGCTGCATCTACCCCTACTCCTACTCCCCCCACACCCTCCGTGTCTGCTGAACCTTCTGCACCAATTAGTGTGAAGCCCATTTCTGGTGTCCCCTACCGCGATATTGCTGGGATATTGCTTTAAGCGGCGTAAAACCATACTCACTCACTCACTCTGCACCAGTTATCACTCTTGATGCCATATCCAGTCTTTTGCAGCAGCAGATGGTGTCAGTGAAGTTCCGCATCGATGGCACGATGTCCGGGCTCGGCTGGGGATAGGCACCAAGTCTGTTGTGGGGGATGGTTCTGGTGCATCTGTTGGGGGAGGGTTCGGCTTAAGCTTAGGCCCTACCGATCTGATCCGAGCTTCAGCTCTGGGGATGGTCAAACCTTGGGGACACGCTGTGACCCAGGTTTAGGCTCCGGTCTGGTGTAGATCCCGGGGATCTTTTGACTCAGGTGTCGACTTGACATCTTCTGGTGCCTTGGCCAAGATGCTTCCAAGAGCACTGGGGCTGGTTGCCTCGGGGCCTCGAGGCCTGCCTACTTCGGGGAATCCTATTTGGGTGGGCTCTTGCCTGGTTTCTCAGGACTGTGGCTCAAGCTCAAGCCGGGGACAGGACAATCCGAGCCATCTGGCTCCGCTTGACCCCCTGAGTACTTCATATTCGACTTGAGTAGTGCCCTCCCAGTCTACTCTTGATGAGAGTTCCGCCTTGGAGGAGTGCGAGGGGGAAGATATGGAAGAGGAGGGGTAACAGTGGGGCAGGCTTGTGAGGTCACATACTCACTTGGCTTCTTTGATTGGCATTTTAGAAGTTGAGTAGATGAAGAATGAGGACTATTTTTATGGATATACAGCTTCTTTATTCTATATAGGCGACATTTCGACATAGATTCTAATGTCGTTGTCAAGCAAGTGGTACATGAGAAGTAATTTTTTGGGTGATATATACATGAGATGTTTGCACAATAGATGAGGGATGAGGCGAAAGTGAGTTGTTTATACAATAGAAGCGGTTGGTAACACAGATGGTATACAGGATTAAGTAGGTTGATTGGAAGCCAGTAGAGAATGATGTACATAGGTTGTTTACATAGGTGATAAAGAAAATGTTGGGAAGCCAGTAGTGATGTGATGTTACACAACTGATAATGTACAATGGTTGAGTAGGTTTACTTGAAATTGATACAGCAAATGATGATAGGCCTTTGGGATGAAATATCCTTCATCTCTGTTGATAGTTGGGAAAATCTTCTTTATGTGGACAGCTTCAAGTAGTTTTCGGGTTTTGAAGTCGGTCTGGTTCCTCTCGATGACCTTGGTGGTGTACCAATTGATGTTGTGGTTGGGTTGGCTTTAAGGTGGTCAGCCATGGCGGATTTAGCGTTTTTGTTTCTTACTGAGGCCTGGTGTTCTTTGATCCTAATGGTAACTGGTCTTGAGGTTTCACCAACGTAGGATTCGCTGCAGTCTCATTCTATCTGTTGGACAACAGATGACACTTGGGTCATCGCTAAGGCAGGCGTACGAGAGGATCTCCGCCGTCCTGCCTCAGGTGGTTGTACCTGAGCTTGAGCCTGACCCAAGAGAAGGCGAATATACTCTGTTCCCATGTCCAGTCGTTGCTGGACAAGGCAGCCATCGAGATGGTTCCAAATGGTCAGGAAAACGAGAGATTATTTTCCGCTCACTTCTAGCGACAAGAAGGACGGAGAGTTCAGACCCATTGCAAACCAAGAAAGGTTGAACAACATGATAAAGGTGCTGTCTATCAGGATGGAGACACTGTGCGCAGTGATCTCGAGGTAGGGAATTGGCTCACATTAATGGACCTCAAAGACACTTACCTTCATGTTCCAATGCACCCCGATTTCAAGAAGTTTGTCTGGTTCTCCTTCTACAGGCAGTGCTACCAGTATTGTGTGCTCCCCTTCGGCATCTCCACAGTGTTCACCAAACTTATACTGATTCCAGCTCGGTTGGCCAGACCTCAGGATCAGTTTTGTTACCTGTACCTAGACGACTGGCCTCTCATGGCTCTAGGCCAACAGTTGAGTCGAGATACCACACATTTGCTGATGGATATTCTCATGAAACTGGGCTGGATCATCAGTCTCGAGAAATCAGAACTCATTCCGACATAGGATCTGATATTCTTGGGTGTAAGGTTCAATTCAGAGTGGGGTCTGATTTCCATCTTTCACATTGTCAAACTTCAGAGGGCAGTTTCGCAGTTCCTTGAGTCCCCATAGCTTCAGCATTGACGTGGGTCCATTTGCTTGGCAACATGGCAGCGACGGTGGATGTAGTTTGGTGTTTGCGTCTGGGGATGAGGCCTATACAGCAGGCACTGGGCTACAAAAGCTACGAGAGGTTTCTCAATCTGCAAGAGTTGTTAATTCCTCACCTGAAGTGGTGGACGGACAGAGAGCTCCCTCTGGAGTCTCCAACGCCGACGCCCTCGATTCAAACTGACGCATCCCTCTCGGGTTGGGGCGGTGTTCTGGGCGACCTGTCAGTCTCAGGCCTTTGGCCGGAGAACAAGGCCAGTCTGCACATCAATGTGCTGGAATTAAGAGCACAATGGTGCTCATGGGGCAGGTTTGAGGCCAGGTGGTTCGTCCAGAGATAAACCCAGATGGCTATGGTGTGACCAGTTCAACATTCGGATGATGCCTGATTATCTCCCGGGGGTAGACAAAGTTCAAGCAGATGTGCACTCTCGACATATACTAGCAACTCACGAGTGGATGCTCGATTGGGGCATATTCGGGATTATCTCCCAGTTGTATTGGTGGTGATTAGTAGGCCTATCTGGCACAGAGTGAATTGCAATTGGCAAATCTAAACGACCATGCCGTTTTGGAAGTGATTTTAAACCAGAAGTGTATATTCAACACCTAAGCCTGGAAGACAGAAATCCAGATATCCGGATATTCAGTTATCCGGATGATTTACTCAAAAATGAATGTGTCCGGATATCCGAGGTCTCACTGTATAGCAGGAAATTTTAATAGACATATGCTTATAAGTACCCCAAGTACCTCTACAGGTTTGTTTGAATTTCTTCAAGAGGTTAGGATCTGCCTTCCAATATGGCCCCCAGAGCTGCTGCCTTATGCAGCGGGTAAGAGATCTCTTTTATTCCCAGCTTTATCATTTTCTGGTCCTATTGGTGGTAGCTAGCTCAGCACTGATGTTGTCTAACTGTATAACGTTTTATTCCTTTAGAAATAATTGTTCCAAGAATTTTTTTTATGCATGAAAATATATTATTCTTTTAAAACAAGATGGCATGTGGAAGGATTCTTTTTTGTGCTGTGACATGAGTATAAAGCTGTCCACCCTTTTCTTTAGCAATAGTAGTTATGACTACTGTAACTCCAACGTGGAATGCAGACTAAATTATTATGCCCCGCCGCGTGTTTAGCGCAAAGCAGGGGATATAGTATTTTATTACCCACGTGGTCAACGTATGGGTAGTTGCATACTGATATCGTACGTCACACGAGTGTCGTATTGCCTTGACCTGTGTCGTAACGACTTGACCTGAGATTTGATTGGTTAACAGATGACCTCTCAATTAGGTCACATTCTGACGTAACTAATTTTTCATTCATAACAAACACGCAAATTCATTCATTCTACAACTTAAATGCATTGTGGGAATGTAAACATTGCGAATGTTGCCGTGCCACTATTTAATTGTGATTTGAACTGAGACATTATATCCGTCGAAAAACATAAGCGCAATGTTTCCTACAGTGATGTTAGCCGAATGAAGCAACTGCAAACCAAGAAACGCGGTGCTACGGAGTAGTTTACTGTAGGAGGCTGTACGAGGCGATGACAACTGACATGCATCGTGACGTCGGTTACCAAGGCAGTGACGTCATTACAGTGTGACGTCATGCAAATATTGTACTACAGTACAAAACTCTTCCGCAACCTCGTTATGTAATCGGTTTCGGTTTGAAACCAAAATATGAAAAAAAATACGCTATTTTGTCAGTTTAATGTATGTAAGACGTGGGTAATAAATAAAAATACCACACTCAGTCTCATTACATACGAATTATACGAAACTCGTGACCTTCCTATGTTATCAGACCTTGCTTTCGCTCGGTCAGATACCATAGGAAGGACACTCGTTTCGTATAATTTGTATGTAATGAGACCTTGTGTGGTATTCTCTATAGGCTCCGTACGTATATCACGTATGTCCGTACGTACGAATTGGAATATCTTAAGAACCTTTGACTGGATTCTCTTCATATTTGGTACCTAGGTTCATCACAGTACAAGAAAGGTCCCAGTCAGGTTTGGTGACCCTGACCTTCATTTCAAGGTCACAAGGGGACTTTAACGTTTTACCCTTGTCAGCGAGATATCTCAAGAACCGTTCACTGGATTTTCTTCATATTCAAGACCAAGCTTTCTTTATCTAGGGAAGGCGCAGGTCCCAGTCGATTTTGGTGACCTTCACCTAATTTTCAAGGTCATGGTGACACTGAAGACTTCAACATGTTAAGCTGCATGTTAACTTGTCAGCGAGATACCTCAAGAACCGTTAACTGGATTTTCTTCACATCAAGCTTCATTGAGGGAAGGCGCAGGGCCCAGTTGATTTAGGTGATCTTCCTTAATTTTCAAGGTCACAGCAACACTTTAAAGATTTCAGCATGTTAACCTGCATGTAAAGATTGTCAGCGAGATATCTCAAGAACCATTCACTGAACTTTCTTCATATTTGACACCAAGCAAGGCCCAGTCGATTTTGGTGACCTTCACTTAATTTTCAAGGTCACAGCAACACTTTAAAGATTTCAGCATGTTAACCTGCATGTAAAGATTGTCAGCAAAATATATCAAGAACTATTCACTGAACTTTCTTCATATTTGTACCAAGCTTCATCTAGGGAAGGTGCAAGTTCCAGTCGATTTTGGTGACCTTCACATAGTTTTCAAGGTCACGGCGGCACTTTGAAGATTTCAGCATCTTAAACTGTGTGTTAAGATTGTCAGCAAGATATCTCAAGAACAGTTCACTGGATTTTCTTCATAGACTATCAAGACTTCCCTTGAATGTTTTTCAATAAGCAATTTCTTTATTACTATTTTTGCATATTTCATACACTAACACATTCATGTCAAGGTCAAAGTGAGTCTTGAAAATATTTGTGCGTTTGAACAACTACAGAGCAAGATATCAAGAGAGGTTGACTGGTCATGTTTTTGTTTACATTTAACTTCATCTTAAATTATGACCTTCACTTTCATTACTTTTTAAGTTTGATTTGATAAATTGCGGCGGGGGATTATGTCACCTTAGTGACAATGCATGTTGAGTTTACAAACAAATTTGAAAACTTTTACTAGTTGCTAGTTGCACATCCCTTCTCATTTCCGAAAGGTAGTGGAAACTCCAGTGCCAGTGTTCCCCAAGAACAGAAAAGACATCTCACCCAAACACAACCCAGCCCTGCAGCCACACTGGAAGCTTGTTGCTCTCTCATTTTCACAGCAATAGGGTTGTTATGGAAATTTTGTAGTGCCATCATTATCCAAGCCATCTTTCAAAAGAAACCCTTTTTTATAAAATGTTTGCTTGGATTACAGTCTGCAAACATTTATTCATCATGCCCTGGATTTATTTTTCATGCTTGGCTTAAAAGTTTTTCACAGATTTTATCTTAAGTTGGATTTAGTTTTTTTCTTGATAAAAAGGGACACCTGCCTGAAGCTCTTGGAAGTCACCCTGGTGGGGCAGTAAATGATGTCATCTACCAGAAGGTCTGAGCAGTTAAAGTTGCAGAAGTCCAGCACCTGCATGAAGCCCTCGACCTCCACAATACCCCCAGCATTGTTGGACCTGTCACAGGCTGCTCAAGCTGCTGGAACAAATAGTACTCCCTCCACCTAACACCAGAGTTTCCAGCAGGTCAAAGGTTTTTTCACAGGCCATGGCATTCAAGCAGCCTTCATCATTTATGCACGATATACCACCACGAACACAGACTTTCCCATGCGGTCGCACAAACTGCCTACTATCAACTGACTAACATGCCTCCACCATCAAATGGTTTTGTCACCAACATTACTCCAAAAGCGATACTGGCAATGCAGCAGGAGAGCTCTATGAACTCCCCAGTATCGGCTGCATCTACATCTTGCATGAAGATATGTCACAGAACTGTCAACATTCAGCTACAGCAACGAACCCTCACAGCATCTTTCTACTGCAGGATGATGAGGATTTTTAACCTTCAGCAGCTGATGTAAGCTCTCATCATCAAGGGCCAACATTTATTTACGGTGATCAAGAATTACTTACATGGATTGCAGATGGGTTACCTATTGCCTCTCCATCGAAGGATCATTCTCTGTCAGATACTTATAGTATTTCTGGTGATAATGTGGAGTCTCTCACCTTACCACCAACATTACAAGTAGTTATCCATCACCAAGGCTATTAGGTCCCATGGTATCCCTACGCCTCATATCAACATTAAAAAGTTTCCATTGCATGGTATGTCTCCGACCAGATCAGCTCAGCATCAGCAAGACTCCTTCCTTTGGAGATACGGGCTATTATCAAATTGTATGGCAAACCACCACTGTGTCAACCATGGGACTCCCCACGATCTTAGATGATCAGATAAGGGAGATCAATAAAGAAGTGGTCCAGGACTCTAAGGACCAGATGCTCATCAAATCAGTCCAGATGATGAATTCGATGTTGAGGCAGTACTGCTCGAGATCTAGTTTTAAAAGTAGATTCTCTGGTATCCAGAAGGCAAAGGATATGAAATACTCTGTCAAGAAACAGCCCTTGTGGAAGCTGTATGAAAAACCAAGACGGATCTTCCTGTGGCCAGGGGCCAGGGAAAAAGGACACTCGATCTGGGGTTTTCCTCTCCAATTTTTCTAGTGTCCAAGAAAAATTCATAACAGTTCAGACTAACCTGCAACATGAAGAAATTCAACCAGAGATGTTAAGGGAGCGAAAGACCCTGAACTGATTGCATTATTATGCTCATTTAGACCAGAATATCAACAGAGCAAGAGCGCTTCCTGAATCCACAGAATCAAATTGATTCACTCTATTGCGTTAGGAGGTGGTGACCCTTGGATGGAGAACAAGTTTCCATGGGGTTATGTAGAACAGATCGTCAGGCGGAGAAATGGTGGATCCTACCACCTCACTGTGGGATTCAAGCATATAGTATGAGTCAGGATAAGGTAAAATATGTATTTTTGGGGAATAACAATATAACTTATACTTATCCTGACTAATACACTATAGTCCCCACCCAGCCGTCCCTGCTGTACAGTTTTGGACTGATGTGGGTAAGCTGATATGAGAGAGTGGCAAGCATGGCTGTTGTCACATGCTTCCGGTGTGGCTGCGAGGCTGGGTTGTGTTCAGGTGATTTGTTTTTCTGTTCTTGGTGAACACTGGCACTGGAGTTTCCACTACATTTTAGAAATGAGAAGAGATAAGCAACTAGTATGAATCAGGATAAGTATTTATGATATTTTTATCCAAAAAATACATTTATGGTCAAACATCAACTGTTAGGAATCAAACCATGCTGGTGTCACAGGACACTGCGCAACTTACTTCTTATTGAAAGTTTTATTCAGTTTTTGAGTTTGATTCAGATTTTTCATACATGCTAAAAGTTGTTATCTATTGTTTTTGTCAACTCTCAAGCAGGGATGAGAGAGCCAGAGTCTCTTCTCGACATGAAGCACTGCAGATTACACGAGGCAGGACCTCCTCCCCAATGAGAGAACCTCAAGTTCGGTAAGTTACTCACTCACAAAACCATTTCAAGTGGAGGTGTTTGGAGATTTATTGCCTGCAGCAGAAGAACAAACCTCTGACAGCTACCAGTATATCACAGTTTATTTGCAGTCTGCATGATCTAGCTTCCGTCTTCAGGGTAGTCTTTCTGTTACTTATCTAGTAGCAGCATTGTGACGTCACGGCCAGAGTTAACAGTTACTGTTCAGTTTACCTGATGATGGGGCCAGAACAAGCCCTGAAACGTTGTACTCGAGAATAAAAAGAAGATGTAACCCAGAAAAAATCTCTATGTTTATCTAGTAGCTGTTAACTCTTTTTTGACTGTTCCAAGATACCATAACTGTAGGCTATGTTTGACCTTCAGTCTGGGATTTGAACGTCATGCCACAGCACTTAAGTTTATGAATATATATTCTTGACTACAATGACATCAGTTAAGAACTGGTGTATTTTGTATTATATTCAGTGAAACAATGACAACATACAAATTTTTTACATAGTTTGACCATGTTGACAGTGTTAATGTCTGACACTGCCTACATTATTGTCATATTAGATAAATATAAGAATGTTGACTAATTTCTTGCATACATTCTATCTTGAAACACAGAGTTGGCTTCATACAAATTGGGAAGATAAATATTTACAGTATCTCAGCTGAACAAGAAGGGTCTTTTATTAGTAAAGACAACTTCTTTATTGCAATGGATGTGATGTTTCGGTGTAGATACTAACACCATTATCAAGCAAGTGATAAAACATTATGGACTAGGAGAATATATACATGAAAAATGTTTGAGTTTATACCATTAAAGAGGTAGATGTACTGTGTGATGACATTAATAATAGTTGTTGCAATAATAGATAATGGATACGAAGCCAGATGGACAAAGTGTAGGACGGCTTAATCTTAATTGGCCTTGATTAGATGATGGTAAGCTGTTGGGATCTAATACTAGTAACCTCTATTGATTGTCAGGTTGAGTCATTTGATGTTGATTGCCTCTAAGAGTTTTCTTATCTTGTAGTCTGACCGGTTGGCTTCAAGGATGTTGATGTTGTTCCAAACGATGGTATGAATTGGATGGGCTTAGGTGTGGTCGGAGTACAATGATGACAGTGTTCAATGTTGATAATGGTGTTAGCTTCAGGCTGTTCTCGATATCCCAAAATTTTGGACTGTAGAACAACGCAGGCATTAAGTGGCAGATGGATCCTATTATTGCAAAAGGGGTGGCAGATTTCCCTTTGTTGGGCATCTTTCAAGTTGCGATACTTTCGCTTTCTGGGATGTACAGCACTACCATGTTGAAGTTGAAGGGTTGTTGCTTCAGTGTAGCCTTGCCATGTCTTGAAAAACTCCAAGTAGTAGATACAATGATTGTCTGGGACCAAGTCCAACAAAAAGCCTCTGCAAAGCCTTATTTCACAAATAAAGCTTTTGTTAGGCCCTTAGATCTCACCAACCATTGTCTACTACTTTTGAACCCCCAGTTAACTTCTCGGCCACACGTGGCACTACTGTGCCGCTATGACTGCTATAGAAAGATAGAAAGGTTCTAAAAAGTAGTAAAATGTCCCCGGCAGCCACAATTCCCCAAGGGTGAAATCGAAAGATGATGTTGCGCTTCTCCCAAGGGGAATTGCGTCAGCTGCCTTTCTCTCACCATGAGAGTGCCCCACTCAGCGAAGTCCTTTTCAGCGACCCAACTGATATGATCTTGATTCCTTACCGAAACACCTCACATCACACAAAGTTGCAAGGAATCTCCACTGAGGCAACAGCGGGATACGAACCCACATGTATAGCTCGCGCAAACTATACATAATGAGCCGCACCACTCAACCGATTGAGCTACCGGTGACTTAGCTGAATAATCTCGGTTTAACGGGTCTATCCTGAGATAGCGAACTAGCACTTTCCTGATCATGTGACATGTCGTGTTGACCTCGAGGAAACAGTTTAATGTGATACAGGATACTATTGGGATTACTCAACAGTAAGTGTTAAATATTTTGCTTGCGTGGCAACATTGTGCCGTACGGTATGACTAATAATTCCTCTCTAACGAAAGCTCTCCCTGGCCCATCTCTCAAGTAGTACAAGTTCGGCTCGTCGGCTTTGATGTCCACTTTATCTATGTTGTAAGTTTTGACTGACCATATCGGATCTGTGGCTCGCTTACGACTATTACCCTCGTGTTCCCCCGGCTGGTATAGGTACCTCACGAGGGCCCTATCTGGTATCTGTTTGTCTTTCCCACGCAATGGCGCAGCCGACTCTGCCACTATTGATTTTAGTTTGATAGCGTCGGCTGGTTTCTTGCCGGTGAGACGGGTGATTTCATGGTTGATGGCAGACACCACCTGAGGTAGCCGCGCTACCCATTCAGTCGATCGTTTCCCCGGGTTGGTCATCTCTCTCGCATACTGATGCCCAAATAAGCGTTCTGCCAAAGTCCGATTGAATCTCTCAACTATGGCTCGGCTGCGATGAGCCCCGGCACCACGCCTGACCTTGGTATCGTGTTTGTCTAGCAGGTGTGACACGGCACCCATGAACTCCCGCCCGGGGTCGACTTGCAGCTCTGTGGGCCACGCCAGCGGACTGCGTTTGTACATGCCTGAATCCGCGCTGGCTACCTGGGCCGAAGTCTTTCGCGGTCAAGGGTTGGCTTCCTTGTCGCGACTGGCAACGCCCACGACGGTTAAGGCATACTTGTACCTCTTGTCGTGGGGTAGGAATAGGAGGTCAGCCTGGTGAAAGCTATTGGGTATGTTAATACCGAACTTCCTTCTAGGCACGTAGCGTGGTGCTGGTAAATAGATCTGCCACAGGGCTTGTTTTTCAAGCCACGCTTTGGCCTCGTTTGGGGGTACTCGCGCCATTTTTGCCAGCTTATGTACAGCGCTAACTCCTTTCCAGTACCCACGCTGGCTGTAGTAAATAGCCTCAAACTTTCTCATGACATCCCGATATATATACACCTATGTTCTTGATTCAATTTTCTCATGCCCGTGACGCTGCACGTTTATCTCATCAATAGCTATCCAACGCTTTAGTGTCCATCGGCGACAAGGACGTCTTGTTTATCATCAGTCCGTATATCCTATGCCCATCACTTCTAAGCGTGTTCATTTTATGTCTAAAGGTACGGGTCTTGAACAGGGCTTCCTTGAATCTGGCGTGTTTGATGTGTTGTTTCACCACGTACTTCTTAACACCCTTCGCCTTCCGGATCTCACCATTGTCGGCCTTCAGGATGGAGTACATCTTGGGTCTCAAGCCTATGTACTCGGCTATGGGCGTGCCAGCACACTCGTCCTTCATCTTACCGAGGACCTTTTTATTTACCGTGCAGTGTATGGCATGGTCCTTGGGGTAGTCGCTGGTGTCGTACAAATCGAGGCGTTTTTTCATGTCCTCGTACACGTCCTCGGTTCGAATCTCCATCAGCAGGGAATCCGTGTCAGTGTACAGCACTTCACACCTGTCGCCCTACTGTTTCTTCAGTTCGTTGTAGTAAAAGTCGTACATCAGGTGTTTGGATCAATCGAGGATGCTCATCCCCACATAAACAGGTCGGTTGAATTTGATGTGGCTTTTCTTCATGTGTAGGGCAACCAGGTCGTCGGTGAATATCTTGCTCCGGTTGAATGCCGGGCTGGCTATCAGTCTCCTGAGCTTGTCTTCCTCATTCGACCGAACCAGCTTCACGGTCACGCGTTTCCTCAGGTTTTCCATAGTCTTACCGAACACCGAGTTGTTCATGAGCTTGTAGAGATTTTTCTCAAAGTCACTGGTGGCCAGCTTTCGCAGGTCTGTGTTCATTCTGATGTATGGCTCCATCCAGGGGCTCTGGTTGAACACGAGCACCCTGTGTATTTTGGTCAGCCTCATACCCAACGACAGGTACAGCTGTAGGTTGCGATAGTGAACGATGTACTTGGTCTTATTCATTAAGTTGGGCACTAGTTTTTCAACGTCTGCCACCCGCCCACCTAACAAGTTATGTTGGTACTCAGACATCCAGTCTGGGTTAACACTCATACGTTCGGGGGCCAGGGGGTAGCTGTTGTGTGATGTGTGTGATGCCTTGGGGTATTCTAAGTCCACCTCGAGGATATAGCCTTTGTTCGAATCGTCCACGATGCTCATAACATCGATCTCGGACGATACACTGCGATGCCCATTCGAATCCCCCTGTGGGTAGATACTGGCTCATGGCCCAGCCGTACAGGTTGTTGGCGTCGAGGTAGAGAATATGATTGGTTGGCTTGCTCGGGTCGTAGCCCTTCACGTATTGATTATTTGCTTTCGCGTATCGTTTGGTAGCCATGGAAATCCCACCTCGCAAGCCTTTCTCAATGAATAGGTGCATGTCGTAATCGGTGAGCAATTCCAACTTAATTCCGGTCTTTTTCAACAATGCATCCCAAGACAGACCTGGGCTGGTGTAGTACCATGCGAGGTCGAGTTGATACTGCTTGAAACACGTCCGCCTAAACGTCTCAAACACGTCGGCTAGCAGCTGTACATCTGTCCTCAAGTACAGGTCGTGGTAGTCACCCAGATTCTTACAGCCCAGTTTATTCCATACGTTAATCGCGTGCGAGTAATCGTCTTGGGATATTGTCGAGTCGGTCAGGTTGCTGTAAAATTCTCTGATGGGGGGTAGTCGGGTCTCGGCGAACTTGGCCCAGCCATCCATGTACTCGTAGGGGTACACACCCTTCCTCATCATGTGTTAAGCCCATTTCTGGTGTCCCCCGCCAGGATATTGCTGGAATATTGCTAAAAGCGGCGTAAAACTAAACTCAGTCAGTCAGTCAGTCCTCATCAGTAGGGGTCGAGTCTCGGCGTCGGTATATCGATCAGTGATGGGGAAGGTATCGTTGGCCTTGACCAGATTGTCGAGTGACGACAGGAGGAACTGAACCGAGTCAATGAACCTCAGGCCATTCAAGCTGAAGGAGATGTATCTCTCCATGTTGTT